ATCATATGTATTAAACACAGGAAAGAAAAGTAGTATGCTGTAAATGTATTAGAACTGGTATTGACAGTAAGGTCCTGTTTGATAATTCAATTCAACACTTAAATTTAATAGATTTATATCTTAATATATTCAAACTGTTCAATAACCACAAATTGAACATCTGAATTAATTAAGTGGCACTGAATTCCATTCTTATTCCAAGTTTCATTTCCATCGTCACAACAACGCTGCACCTGGTTGTCCTCTGAAGGCTTAAATTATCAATCTCACTCAAAAAGAAAAAAATAAAATCAGCAACTTCGTCCATTATGATTAAAACAAGTTTCTAACCTAAAAATGTGAAAACTAAACAAAAATTCGCAATTGGAGACTACAAAAAAAGTTGCTCTGTAACTCCTTCGTTAGTCTATTTTCGAAACTCTATCAATTCAAAGAAAAATTCTCCTAGATATTGAGGATAAAACCTCAAATTAATTCAACAACAAAATAAAAAACTTAAAAGGAAAGAAAATCGCATTTTTTTAAACATTTTTTTAATAAGTAAGAGGTTTTAAATCTAAAACTTTCGACTTACAATACTTCCTCATTTATTATCCAATCCAACCCTCGTCCGAAAGTCACAAGTTTAACTGCAAAGTTCCGGGCACAAAATTTATTTTTCGTTGCTTATGTAACCATAATTTTTCTCTCATTAAGAATTCAGGTCGTTCTATTTCCATATGTATGTATATCTGCGTGAAGATATACCAGGACAAACAAGACCAAAGATAGCAAGACAATGGCTTCTCTATCCTCGTGGGCTAATTAATAGTTTGGCCAAACTCATTGGAGGTAAATGTAATGAGCTCTGAAAAGCATTTTTACAAAAAAAAAAAGAGAAAAAAGAAAAAGGGACACTGCGGAGGCAAACGTTAATGTCGCGAAACTCACCACGAAAGTACCTCCAATTTCAATCATTGACCGCTTGATTAATCCCAAAAGATCACCAATTCCTTTTACCCACAAATCGGTGGCTGTACCTCAATTCTCTTTCATAAAAACCACATAAAAATCTCTCACTCGTCTCCTCCTTTCTCTCTCTTCACTTCTCTTTCTCGGCCATATATCTGAGACCCCTCAGGCCCTCACCAATTCTTCCACAATGGCCGAAACCCCATCTGACCAAACCCAGACCCAGGCCGAGACTCAAGTTCCAGCCGGGTCGGAGCCCAATCCTTCACAATACTGGTGCTATCACTGCGACAACGGGTCTCCATTGAAACCCTTGCGGATCTCCCTGACGTCATCTGCCACGAGTGCAAGAACGGCTTCGTCGAGTCCATGGGTCCTCCAGCCGCCCCGGCTGCAGCTTCGGACCCCATGGATGATCCGTCTTTCGGAAACCAGTTCCTCCAAGTCCTTCGACTCATAGCTCAGGCCGCGCGTGACGAAGACGCGCCTCCTCCTCCCCCCTCTGAGCACGCTGATCCATCCGATGACGATTACCTTCGAATCGAGCTCGATGGCTGGGACAACGATGATGACGAGGACGACGAGAATGAAATCGAAGTCAGAAATGAAGATGTAGAAGAAAATCGAGAAAGGGTGGACCAAAATCGAGACCAATCGGACGACGACGACGACGACGACGACGAGGAGGTCGACGACGAAAATGAGGAGAATGAGACTCGAGAAGAGACGGACGAAGATGATTTAAGGCGTAGGCGGCGCGATGTTCTTCGGCTCCGGCTTCGGGACTTTGCTGCTCGAGCCGCGAATCGCCGTAACCGGATTCTCGATTGGGCGGAAATCCTAATGGGAATTGAGGACTACTCAATTGAGTTTCGATTGGCCGCGCCTGAAGGAGAAGGGTATATTGGGAATCCAGGCGATTACGTGGATGCGGCGGGTTATGAAGCTTTGCTGCAAAATCTGGCCGAAACTGATAACGGTGGGCGGCGAGGAGCGCCTCCCGCGTCAAAAGCTTCTGTAGAAGCATTAGAAACCATGGAGATTAAGTCAGAACTGGAAGCATTGGCTTGTGCTGTATGTAAAGATATAGTTGGTGTTGGAGAAATGGTAAAGAAATTACCTTGTGGACATGGGTATCATGGGGATTGTATCATACCGTGGTTGGGGTCGAGAAATTCGTGCCCTGTATGTAGGTATGAGTTGCCGACAGATGATGCAGAGTACGAGGAAGAAAGGAAAAAGAGAGCTGCTGCTGCCGCTGCCCCGAGTTCTTCTTCTGGTGGCAGTGGCGGTATTAGTGGTGATTACGAGACTGAGTCCTTCTAATCATTGGTGGCATATACGCTTACTTTCTGCAATTATTTTTCGGTTTTCTTTTTCTAGAATTAGCTTATGATTTCAGATATTTTGACTCGTGGAACTCTGTTTGTGGACTAGTTTGAGGAATTGTAAACTTGTTTCTCTTTTCTCTTAATGTAAATAAGATTTACTTCGATAAAAACTTGTTTCTCTTTATCTGGAGCATCTTGTCCTTGGGGCTAGATAATATGGAAACTGAAACATTTGCACCTATGAAATTAATGATATCATTTTAAACATGATATGCTATGCTATTAAGGTATGCAATTTAACATGTGCATTCAGGTGTTTTAGGAGCTTTACTTATGTCATAAAATGCAGTTAATTTTTAGTTTCTTGTAATAATCTTTGCGTGCATAATAGATATTATACCTTTAATTGAAACTTCAGATGCAGAACATGGATGTATTCTTTCGAAACCTTGACCGTAATGGTCTCCCCAGTATATTCAGGCTAAATCTTTGTTGTTGTTGCTGAACGTCAGTCAATGCTACTGCCTGTGCTAACTTCCAGTGTAATGCGTGATACTTGGTCGGGGATTCGCGGAAAGGCGTATGATTTGCACAATTTCTTGTGTGCTTGGATTTAAGTTCTTATTAACGTTGTTATTTTAATGCACCGAGATTTTAAAGTGCCTATTTATTTATTTATTTGTGTGCAAAATTCATGACTTGCATTTTCTGCTTCTGTTGTGTGTTCCGTTTTCATCTTGAATCTTCGTATGGAGACGAGCAGATATTTATTTTAAGAAATTCTTGAACTCAAATTCCTGGTTCTTATGTATAATAATAAGGGTTAAAAATAAAAAAGTCCCCTGTGGTAAGCCTAATACACAGAAAAGCCCCCTATAGTTTCAAAATATACAATACGACATCTCATGCTTTGAACTAAATTGTAAAAGTGACGGAATCCGTTAAACTTAACGGAAATGACTTATTGGAACCTAAAAAAAATTTTTTATACCTATTTTTTATCAAATATACCTATTCTACCCCTTAACCCTCAATTCTCTCTATTTAGAAAAAAAAAAAATGATTTTTTGAGCTGTCTTTTGTTTAATTATATCAGGGTATTTTGGTCATTTTGACCATTTCCGTTAAGTTTAACGGATTCCGTCACCTTTACAATTTAGTTCAAAGTATGAGGAGTCGTGTTGTATATTTTGAAACCACGGGGGCTTTTCTGTATATTAGGTTTACCACAGGGGCTTTTTTATTTTTTACCCTAATAATAATAAAAAGGGAGAACTACACCAATCGTCCCTCACATATCACATATGTGAAAATTTAGTCCCTCAGAATAAAAATGATCAATTTTAGTCCTTAACAAACAAAAATGATCACCTTTAGTCCCTTTTCACTTTTTCGACCAAATTTTGGCCGAAATTCATTGGGTCCACGCGCAAAGCCCAATTTTTAAAGGGTAAAAGTGACAAATCGCCGTTGACCAATTATTGGAGGGACCAACTGTACAAAACAAACATTCATAAAAAAACACAAAAACTAACCCACCATTATTTGTTATTCATCTCAACCCAAAATCTTAGGTTGTGTTTGGATTGCATTTTCCGTCATTTTTCATGGAAAAATTACTGTAGCGATTTGATATATGTGAGGGAAAAAGGTGATAGGGAAATGTGATCACGGAAAACGATAATATTTTCCGACGAAAACCTTCAATCCAAGCAAGGCCTAATATCCAGCAATTCAACAGTATAGCATTAGCGTATTCCAGTGTACTAGATTAAATTTGCAGAGAAAGCATAAAGAAAGGACTGAACTTAATGAGATGAAGACGACCAAGGAAGTAGATCAAACAAATTTCAGTGTTGGAGCAAGCACATTACCGCAGGCATACGATTTACCAAGTTTAGATAATGACCTTGTTACCAAGTACACGTCGGAGCAAGACAACATGTATGCCCAAACTAGCCGAAAACAGAATATCCCAACAGTAGTTCATATTAACAGAGGAGTACAAGACCAGTTCAATTAGCAGACAAACATGAGTCCTTCGTTTAAACCAAACTAGGAGGGTAAACACCGCGCGACGCGCGTGAGGTTATATGAGATTGGCATGCCCATCGAATGAGATTTTCTAGTACAAAATAAAAGGAGGAAAACACTAAGAGAAAGCTAAATAATGTGATATTAAAGCAAGTAGCAGATACATGCCTACTTCAATATCAATAACAATGTGCTATAACTTATTACATTTGTCTTGATTGTTTATATATTAGGAAAATTTTTATAAGTGATATAATGTACAACATTTGGAATTAGATAACTACGATTAAAGAAGACAAATTTTTAAACTGGAAATACAATTCAAAATCAAGAAGAATTGGTGCTAGAATGTGAATTCAAGGTTATAATCTATCTTTTTTTCCCCCTATATCTGCCTTTGGTAGATTTAACTAATTAAATTGCAATAAAAAAATGCCTTCGGAATGAAAGAATGTGATAAATTCCATATTCAAGCATTCTTGTCTCATTATTTCCTATCAAGAGATAGTAGCACTCAGTGAAGGCAAGGCCTCTAATAGCAACTACCTATTAATGACGGAGCCTGATCTTCCTCTCAATGTTGTATGCAACTATCACGATTGGAGACTTTAGTATCGTTTGAAAATCCTTGATCCATGCGATGTTTTAGGCAACCAAAAGCAATTGCGAATACAGAAGTTTCCCTCTTAAATACCATACACCAACAGATAGAAATATGAGATCCAAAACTCCAATCATGTCAAGGAGAAAAATATCCGCGATCAAATTCCATCCCCTCTACAATGTGCAGGCTATTTTTACCATAGCTCCATGTCTCACTTCTTATTAATTCTCTTCCTACTTTTGAAAAGAGTCGAAGTCCTGTTTCCTACTGCATAATCATTTCCTGCACTAACAATAGCAATATTTGCAAAATCATGACCGACAAACCTACAATCATCAGAAATTTAAAACTTAAAATGATTTTTCTTCTTGCAATAGTACAAAGATGGCAAATTACCTCCCTGATGCCAATTTGAGTTCTGAAACAAGCATTTTGGTAGTTTTATCAAATCCCATATGAGAGCTGAATATGTTTCATCCTGAAAAAAAAACACAATGAAAAGTGAAAATGGAACATTTTAAATTGCTTTGACACAATAATGGCAATTTCAAAAGCAATTGATAGCGGTAGCAAAGTCACCTTTAACTTTGATAACTTTAATTAAAGAGAGCAATGTAGACAACAATAAAAAATAGGTCAAATTAGAGATCGACAAAAATAAATTGGAGCTAAGATGAGAACAAATTCAGCAACATTTGCACCGTCCTGCCTCGCTAATTTAACTCCCACATACTCCAAAGCATCCTCCAATCAATCTGTTCTGCGCAAGTAAATTACATGAAGTGCAAATAATAACTAAACTAAGAATAAGATAATATTCCTATAAACATTTTGCTTTTCTTTGAGATGATAGATTGCAAATTAGCAGCTCTCTTAAGCCCCAAAAAACTACACCACATACGAAAATATGCATTTTGCATTAGTATGCAAAAAATACACTCTAGCAGAATGACAGAAAGTACAGATACAGATGTTGGACTTTAGGCTCAAATCTTCATTAAAAAGCTCCAAATTATTTATCAAAATTATTTCTAATACCTGGAGCATTTTTTATCCATTATTCCCCTTCTCTTAATCATTATTTGATGGCTTTCCAAATGTAGTATACTTAATGATAGTAAATAAATCTAAAAGATTTAGAAGAAAACAAGAAGCAAATAGCACCTTCTTCCATTAAAAGTATGAGAATAACTGACATAGCCAAATATAAGAAGAAGAAAATTTTTAAGACATCATGTTGTGGAATCTACCATAAGGTCACCTCAAAGTGAAATAAGTAGATTGCTTGAACTGATGCAAACGCTATGATTGTAGTAAAAAACAACAAACTTGCTAGCAATTTCAGCACTAATATTGCTTGTACATATCAAATACACTGATATACCATGTAAGACTTGTTACCTGTTTAAAACACTTTCAGTATCTTTAACAATCTTGGGATGCAATTTAATGTGCAACACCAAAATTCTTCCTTTTGGTCCCGAAGTTACTCCAACTACTTTTGCCACGAAGTCTACACATGCCTGCACAATTAACAAGAAAACTTTACTAATCATTCACCACTTAAAAATATTATACAAGAAATAAGTAATAGATGTAAACCAGAAGCTTCTCCAACGCTGAACCATTATGGTTAAAATAGAGTTCTTTAGCCATAGCTATTGCATTTAGCATAGAACTTATAGTTTCAATTAAAGCTACAATATGGTTCATACATGAACATTGATGGCTAGGGATAACAGAACGCCTATGTTTTTCGTTTTGCTTCGTCATCATGAAAGTTTGTTAAAATAAAAAAAAAATCATCTAGTTATATATATGATCAATCATCATCAACAACCCTTTTAAAATCAGGGTTCAAGGTTCCAAGAATAAGAACCATTGAGACAGTTTTTAAGATGACCTTAGAGGGGGCACTTTTTAAAAAATTGATAAACAAGACCTATGAGACAGTGAAATAAAATATCTTGCACAAAGCCTTTTTTTTCCTTTTCCGTTGGGGTGCTGTATGAATAAGTGTATCTAAGCATTCATAAGATAATTAGTTGAAAGTTAATTATAATTATACCCATAATTGTGTTGTATATAACATGAATATGATAATTACTACCAACTTTTGGAAAACATAAATCAAGTATGAAAAGCCAAAATCAGTTTGAAACATATAACTTGTTTCTGTTCATAGTAGAAAAATGAAAAATAAAATGCACAGCAGACATAGCAACCTCCTTGGGAATAGAAATAGCTCTTCTGTGACATGCAATATTGTATCTGACTGTAAGGATAGCAAGCAAAGAAGCTTTGCATGGCATATAGTGCAAATTAAATCAGAATTTGATTTCTTTTTTTTTTTTTGCCGAGTCAAGTACACAATAGGGGAGAAAAGTGGATTTCATTTGAAAAAATACATCACCATAAAATAATAATAAAAAGAAACATGGTAATTAGAAGAATATACCTTTCTTATATAGAAAGACATGATTAAACATCTTTCATCCTTTTCTGTCCTCAAAAGGTCAAGAACGACATCAATCTTCCATGAAAATATAAGTGAATGAGATGGTAGTGTTTTCATAGTACAGAGAGAAAAATGTTGCTAAAGACCAGAACATAGCAATAAAATTTCTCTCAAAGGATGACCAAATGTCCCAAATAATAGTAACATCATCTTCAAAATAACCTTCTTAACTTTTCCATTTTTTGCAAGGGCTTATGCAATCCAACATCACTATAAAAACATCTTTTTTGAAGAATATTTTAGATTGTGATCTTGCAACAAAATTATAACGGACAATCTCTTTTTCAGCTAAAGCAAGGCCAACCATTTCTTTGAAGATGAATAGAGGCATAAAATTTTGACAAGCTGCCTTCCTTGAAATAAATCAATATTCATTCCCAAAACTTTTTGTCTTTTGTGCAAGCAACCTTATAATTTCAATATATTTTCACTACCAGAAAGGTTTTACACCAATATGGAATAAAGCCAATTAAAATAAGAAAAGCGAATAACTCCAAAGACCCCAAGACCTGCCATGTTTACATTGACTGATTGGAAAGGTCCAATGTCTCAAGCGATTTGGTGATTGGTAAATGAAAGGTAATAAACAAATTATACCTTAGCATCAACTTCCAAAGAATTGATGTAGAGTTAGTTACTTGGATCCTACAATGAGAACCAAGAAAGCCAAAATAAGTCTTACAAACCAGACAAATGCTAGGAAAATACAGTGTTATATTACCAAATTAAAGGTACCTTTGGTGACATCTAGTTGAAGATACAAAGTTGCTCTATCAATTTGCAATCATCAACATGCCTTATATGCATGTTCTTTCCATGTTAAGATTCATCTCACTCTATTGGCCAATTAAGTTCCATTCTACGTTTTTTGTCTAACTTGATAACATATTTAGAATTAAACAGTCACAGCAATACAACTCAGCAAGAAAACCCACCAAGCACAAGTTATATGATACATGCTAGAAAACTTACTATTATTAATTGTTTAGTAAGGAAATAAAGGAGTATAAATTCCAAATTTCTAGTACTAACTTTTACATATCAGTTATGAAGGTTAATAACATGTGGATCCCTTGATACATTTGATCAAACAACTACATGACAATGCGGGGTAGAATTGCTAACATGCACAACTTAGTCATATCCGTTTTCTTTTCTGTGAGAAAAACTGCCTCACTCGTAAGTGCTTTAAAAGCCATCATATGGGAAGAATGATCAAAAAGGTTGAAAGAAAAATGGATCACGCAATAGCTTAACAAGTGAAAGCTAGATCAAGAATCAAGAGGTTGATCATTTCAGAACTAACTGAAACATAAAGGGAACAAAATAGGAGCTCAAACAACTGAACAGGAGCTGAAAAAAATTCAGTATTCATTGTCAAGAAATCATCAAACTACACTATATTCACTCATATTGAAAATCAATAAGATACCAATACCACTAATGAGTAAAGATTTGTCTCGATGACTATACTATAAAGTACGTAAAAATATTAAATTTTTTTCAAATTCCATAATTTCAGGAAAACAAGTAGCACTCTCCTCACTGAAACTCTAACTTTAGTCACCACAAATGAACAACTTAAGGAATAACAATTGAAATTATGGTAAAAAGGAAAGCAAAAAACCTGTAATAATGGAAAAGCAACAAGTGATAAAGTCCTATGTAACCTCTTCTGCAAAGCAAAGGAAAAGGGGTATAACATTTAGAGTACAAACTGCAATAAAATACACATGAACAGAAGAAGGTACAATCAAACTACTCACTAATTTTACACAAAGTAGCTGGATACGGTATTGAGTCGTGCTGCTATATTCTGGAGTAGTTCTTGGAAAGGACAGAAGAAAATTTCCAAATTTTGGACCTGCAATATCAAAAAATTATACATTAGACGAATCGAGGGAAAAAATCATTTAAAGGCATCAGATTGACAAAAATCGAAAAGAAACAAGCTGTGAATTTAAACAATTCTTCACATAGAACTTATCCAGAATAATGCTATGATTAGGCTCTCAGCAAATTGGAATTGGAATAAATTGAGAAATCAAAGATAAAAATTAGTTCGTCAGTTGACCACTCATCGTAGATATCGCATTGGAAAAAGAAACAACGAAGAAAAAAGATTCTCACTCGACAGAAAGAAAGTGCACAATCAATTTCGGAAGTTTATTTGTCGCGTTCTACACCAATCAATTTAACAAATTACCTATGATTTTTATTTTACTTCAAAAGTTTATTTACTTTTTAACCCCCTAACACACAAACAAGTCTTTTACTACTTCTTTTCCCTAAAAAAAAGTTTCAGAAAGACGTACAAAAACAAATATGTTTCAGACAGAAAAAAACACGAGACAAAAAAACAGATAAAAAGGAAATTGGGAACATGAATTAAACAAATAAAAAATGCAAAGGCAGGTGAGAAAAAGAATTAAGAGCTCAAAGATGGGGAAAATCATGGAAAACACTCACTCTGATCCGGAGTCATCTTTGAGAAGCATTAGAGAAACATACAACCTTCCACCTTCTTTTTCAAACAAACAAATGCAGATGTGATTGATGGGAGAAGGTTACCTGCTCCCAACTTTTCAGTGATGGTAGCGGGTTCCCTTTTCTCCACTCCTTTCATTAACCATCCGACTCCCTCTCTCTAACCCTTTACTTTCTCTTTCTTCTCGTCTTCTTCCTCATCCTCACAAAGAAAACTGCACTTTTTCTCTCTTCAATTTCAGAAGCTTTTTCTCTCTTCAATTTCTTTAACATATATATAAAGGACAAATGCCATGGCTCAAAAGGGATGATTGTTTTGCTGATGTGGCCAATCGTTATTGGCTGGAGTGTGTTCGTCCATCTGTCTATTCTGTTCTATACTTAGTACCTAAAGTCAGTAAACTTTTCAATAATAACTTCTTCTTCTACATGACAGACCAAAACTGTCCTAAGACATTGGCACAAGTACAAATTTGAAAAACTACTGATAGAAGAGTTGTATCTAAAAGCATCCCAATTTAATCACCAATAAAACCCAACCAGAGCTTTTCACATGAAAAAAAACAGCTCTGCATTTTTAGAACCACTGTTAATTCTAGAATTGTGAAAACAAAATGACTATAGCCCATGAGACATAAACAAGATGACAAAAATAACAAGTATCCCCATGAAAAAAACTCAAAGCAAGAAGCACTCTCAAATTGAGACCTAAACAAACGCAAGCAATTTGAAAGAATTGACAGAACTGCAACAGTGTATACATTTTCAAAATCACAATCAGTTAGTCCTCGATGCTAGATTGCTAATCACTTGAGACAAATAAACCAGCCAATTAATGGGCCCCAGAAAGCACGATAGTCAACACCCTTAACTATGTACACTGATAGGCATTAGTTAGCGAAAATTAAAAGCACAAGTCTTCACAAAAAAACAAACAAATACAAAAAGGCGTATAATTAGACATTTAATAAAAACAGAGTTTAACTTAAAAAAGTAGATGGATGTAATAGAAGTTAGACAAGGAAGAATCCATCTTCCTTGAAGCGTATACATCTAACAATAATTCACGAGTATGCAGCAAAGCTACTCAGCATTCATCTATTAACTAAAATCAGGATACTAAATCCAACAATGACTCATGTATATAGAGAACTGAAATACTGCTCCGGACATTATTATGTGGCACAATTAAACTAACATGAGAGTATAAGTCAACTTATCCGGAAAACTAAATTCCAATTTGTCAAATTACAAATGGAACAGATTTGCGCTTTTTACCAACCACAACTACCATCTAGGACTCTGGAACAATATGAATGAATAGCCAAGAACCATCAGACTTAAATAAGGACTATGAAAAGAAAACAGCCATATAGCAATAGAAAAGGACATGATGCAAGAAAAACGTTGATGCAAAGCAGAGACGCTTCCAATCTATGACCACAACAAACGAGCATCTAAAACATTCTTGACAGTGATTGATCAATAATCAACATGGTTAAGAGATCACAATCAAGTAAAAAGACAGTACCCCTGCAAAGTTACAAGTCTTCCCAGATGATTAAATAGCAGAAGTTTGAAAGATAAAATCACTCTCCAACGATGACCACAAAAGAAAAGCAGCCTCAAATTCTTCACTTGATCTATTGCGCCAATGTAAAAAGCACAAGCATCACAAATTCACAATCTACTAAAGTCATTAAATAGCATAGCTTAATGTCTAGTCACTCTCAAACTATGAGCACAAACAGCAAGCAACTTAAAGTATTCATTTTACTAATAAATCATGCACAAAGTGAGATATCACTACAACAGTAGCTACTAAAAAGTGTCAAAATCTAAAACTAACTCCTCCAATGTAATAGTACATGACCAAAACTGACAAACCATAAAAATTAAAAAATTAAAAACAAAAGATTTTGCACATAACTTCCCCTTCTTATATCTGTTTTCGAAATTATCAAACAAATCAAGTGATCAGAGGCACATTAAAAATCTCGGATTTGAAGCTACTGAAAATCATAAAAATCCTAAAACCCTGATCCACCAAGTAAAGTTACATATCCTAGGAAACCTAATCAAGATTTATGCCGAAAAACCTAATCTGCCAAGCAAAGTTACAGATCCTGGAACACCATAATCGAGATTTAACCCTGAATCACTTTTTAATATAGCAATCTTAAACCCAAATTTTCATAAATTCAAATTTATCTAAAAAAATTCTATGCCAATAAACTAAATTCCCATCTCCAAAATTCTGAAGTCCATAAATCTGTAACAAAACAAATCAAAAAGTTACCCGTTTCAGCTCTGGAAAAAAGCAAGAAAAAGATCATTTAGTCAGAAAAGATTAGCAATACTGAGAAAATAAATTGATAAAATTCAAACACCATTTAGAAAAGAAAAATAAAAGAATTAAAGATATCAGTAGATATCATTCACCTGAATGTTCAACTAACATTTAACAAGTCAAAGCCCATTAATTTACGCCTTCCTTTTGCTGCACTTTTGAGAGGCCGAAACGCACAGCTGATCCCCCATCTGAATACAGTAAAAACCCCAAAAATCTGTATAAAACATTCAAGAACAACCATGTATCAAGTATTTCTGATGAAATATTTATTAGAAAGAATGAATTGAATTTCAATAAGGAAAACAAAAAATTTGAAACGAATAGCTTTAGTTTACCTGAATCTTCAATTGGCATATGTACAAATCCAAAAGCCCTGAATTTGCGTCTTTCTTTCTCCGCCATTTTCACACACAGAAACACACACCCAATCCCTATCTCCTCTTCTGGAAACAAATGCTACACAAATAATTTGTGGAAAACAAGAACTTGTTCAAAGAAAACTCTAAAAATCTTGGAAAAAAAATAAAATTGGGCCCAATTTGAACGTTATAATTTGGGAAACATATAAAAAAAAGCACAAAAATTTTGAAATGGCAGAGAGATAGGGAGAGAGATGGTAATATCAGCTTTGATGAGAGAAATGAAGGAGAAAAGGCCGGAGAGAATAGGAGGTTTATATAAGTAGATGGGGTTTTGAGAAGTACAATCAAGTAATTTAAAAAAAAAATCACCGATGATGATGATGCTGAGAATTCTGAGAAGAGAGAGTTTAAAAGGAGAAGCAATCTTCATTTTTTTCCTTTTATGATAGTGGGCAATCCAATTTACCCGAGAATGAGATGATGAGACTGGCAGGGAAGGAGAGGTAGAAGGACTCGGGGAGATGGAAGCGTAGAAGTCTGGAAGAAATTGTTGGAGAAAGAGGAGAAAAATTTTGACGTCTGTCACAAGTATCTTGAGCCCATTCCCACTGTGATTGTCACTGAAAAGCCGGAAAAACGTAACTTCTCACTGAAAAAGTCGGGAGCAAGTAACCTAATTTGCCCAATCAAATCAATCGAATTTGTGGTTTAAAAAAGGGTCACTTGCAGAACACGTGATGATAAACAAAACCATGGGATTAAAAAATTTTGGACGAACACCCTCCAACCAATCACATTTCGCTACATCACCAATAATACACACCCTTGAGACATAACATTCCCCCTTTTATACATATGTTAATAAATCAAAAGAAAAAATTGCAAAAAAGCCTTGGTAGGAAAAAAAAAGCATCCAGAATCTATCACCAGTAGGTAAATTGTGGCCATGAAACGACAATGTAGACAATTGAAGAAACTGCAGTTAAAACTAGAAGCTGGGATCGGCCGGATCTTGACTATTCAAACTCCAGAAGAAGACTTGAGCATGACAAAATTAGCACAGCCAATAATGCACAACAACCACCCGGAATCAGCACAAACGCTCAAAACAAGAGATGAATACTGACAAATCAGCGCAAAGTTGTTGCAAAAGTATCAGCATAGCAATTAAATCAGAGGACCCACCCGGAATCTATAGAGGAAGTCACTATAGAAAACAGCATTAAAGCCCAAAGAAAAAAGAAAAGAAGAAACAAAACAACGTACTTGCTAGCCTCTTCACGAGTCTCTTCTCCTCTTCCATTCTTGACCACCCCTTAGTAGCTTTGACTCTGTACAAGAATAATAGAGGGAGAGAAGAGAATAAGAGCAGAGGAAGAGGCGAAACATGTGTGATTTTGTATTTTAGTGTGGGCTTTGTATTGTGTTGTTTGAGGGAATAATAGTAAGAGTGGCAATTAAGAAGAACAAATTATTATGCTAATAACCCCAAAAAAGAATAAAATAAAAACAAAATGTATGGTAAGAGAAAGCGACGGCATGGACTCGAAAAATGACAGATCCTGGTCTTAATACATTTTGCATTACTATGTTGTTGCCTTTGTATGACACTAAGTGCAGCGTTATGTCAATTTTGGTACTAGCATCACTTTTGTGGTCAACAGTAGGGTGATTTGTCACTTTTACCCTTTAAAAATTGGACATTGCATATGATCCAGTGAGTTCCGGCCAAAATTTGATCGAAAAAGTGAAAATGGACTAAAGGTGATCATTTTTTGTTTATTAGAGACTAAAACTGATCATTTTTGTTCTGAGGGACTAAATTTTCACATCTATAATATGTGAGGAACGATTGGTGCAGTTCTTCCTAATAAAAATCAACCATAGCTTGAAGTAAAACTTGATGTAAAGATGCATCATGTTTACTACTACAATTTTAGGCTGTTGTATGTAATTTCGTGCATTTAGATTTGATGAATGCGCGTGCACTCTCAATGCTGAAGTCCTAGCCGTCAACTGTGAAGCTTTGATTCTTCTGGCCCCTGCCCATGAAAAGGAGTGAATAAACAGATTTCAGACGAGAACTTGATGAGAATCTTCTCTCCTCCTAATGAGATTTCGTGAGACCAGGACCGGGACCGGGACAGGGACAGGGACCGGAAGATTTCTGCTATTCCACTTCCAGCGTGCCTTTTCAGTGAACGATTGTTGTATGGTACATTGATTTTTTAATTACTACAACTACAAGTAAAAGCTTGTCCAAACCAAAAAAGAAAAAGAAAAAAGATTGAAGATATGTGGCTAAATATCAATGGGTAATACAGAAGGTAGAATAGAATTGGGAGGTGGAACACAGGATCCTAATCTTTTATTTTTTTTAATTATATTATTTGCTTGGCAATTTAGCCTGATACTACTAATCAACTTATATAGTAAAAGCGCGAATGGATCTTTTAAGAATGGTGGTTGTTGTGCTGATGTGGCCAAGTTTTATTGACTGGATGGTGGTCGTCCATCATGTGCTTCTCACGTGACAAAAAATTTGTTTTAGGGCTTTCCTTGTTTTCTTTCCCCTCATTCATCTCCGCCGCTTCGTTGCTCTCCAAAGCTCCTCTCCTCTCCCTTCCATTTTTTTTTTTTTTGTTCCTTTCTTCTTTTTGTTGTTTTTTATTTGGTCCTTTTTCTCTGTTTTTCCTTCCTGTTTCCCCCCTCCCCCTTTTCCCCTTCTTCTCTTTCCTTTTTTCAATTATATGATTCTAACTGATTTTTTTCTCTTGCTAGAATTGGTCTGGATATGAAGCTACTAAACGCATGAGACACAAAAATCATCTTAATTGGTAAGCTCCAATATTTCCCTAAAGTTTTACAGTTTCCTTTATTTACAAAAGAAAGATATTTTTCCTGCTAAGATTTGTTAATCTTTCGATTAATAACCCAGACGTCTGAAATACTATTCTTCCATCTCCTACTTTGAGCAAACAAAGAAAGCCGTAGTAAAATCTTCATCCAAAAGCAGCGAAAGTCGGAAGTATTTATAAACCCAGAGATCTGCTATTTTTTATTTTCTTCCGACTTTCGACTATCATTCATCTACATGTTTTCTTTCTTCTTTGTTAATCAACAAAAATTTAAAACAATATGGCTCTTTGATTTTTTTTGTTTAGTTTTTGTTTCTTTCTTTGTTTTCTTGAATTTGCAGTTACTCACAATCGCATTTTGCTTCTCATAGATTGCGGACAATGGATTGAAAGTCCACGAGAAGGAGAAAAAGAATCAACTTTCCAGGTTGTGCGATTTTCTTTAATTTATTTTTCAGCCTTTTTCCAATTTTACTCTAGCCTTCAAATTTTTGTTTCCGTTTTTTTTTGTAAGAAAAGTTTTTGATTTCAGATCTCTTGCTTAGTACTTTAGTTTTGTTGCTATTAACGATCTCATTTCTGCTGTCTATTGGACAGATAGGGATCTCATTTTTCTTTTAATAAATTGAGGGAAAAATGGAAGAGAAGTCGACGGGAAGAAGAAAAAAAGATTTAAGTTTTCAAGGTTCGAATTTTTCTGTAGTTTATTTTCCAAGCATTTTCTAATTTTACGCTAAACTGGACCTTCAAGTTTCCGGTTCCTTTTTTTTTTTGGCTTTTCCATTGAATATTATATGTTTTAATTTCTTGTTTAGTTATTTAGTTTTGCTGCTGCTAATAGTTTTGTTTTCCATTTATGTCATATTTTGATTTCTATTTAGTAGATTGAGGAAAAACGCAAGAAATATCCACAAGAAGAGATAGATTTAACTTTTTAGGTTGTGATCTTTTTTTCCCCCAATTATCTTTGCAGCTCACCTGAAATTCAGCTTTCAAGTTATATTCTATTCATTGGTTTCACAAAGTAGCTATAGGTATTATTTCTTAGTTTTGCCATTTATCTTTACTATTGCCTTCTTAACACGGATGGTTATGCATCCAAGTTATACATGGTATTGGGAGATCCTGTTTGAATTGTGCTTGGAATAGATGTCTTTGTCATTACTTTTCCATTGCAGTAGTTGTGACTTTGTATTTAGAGTATGCATAGAGTGGTGTAGTTGCATTTACAAGTGTGGTTAACACTTATTGCTAAAATGTCTTATGGGTGTCTGAGTTTTGCAGCGGAACCAAAAGTTTTTATGCTGTAATTTGCTTCAGAACAATATTGAGTTTTTGGTTGAGCTTAACATGTCTAGTGTATCAAATTCCAAAAAGTCCTTGCTCTCAAATTACATTTGTGCAGTGCAAGAAATTCAGATACACAATGAGGAAAAAGTGATTGCCAAAAGTGTGTATATTTGGCCATACTCTTAACTGTGATTATTTTATTTGGCCATCTCACCTTTTGTTCAATTTGTTGTATGGGTTCCAGATTTTTACTTTTTCCTCCATTTATGTATCTCAAACATTCTGTGCAGAAGGCATTCAATGGAAAATCATATTGTTTCTTAATGTTTATGTGCCATCATCCTGTACAAGAAGGAAAGATTTTTATGTATGCAGGGATTATACTTGGTTCATAGCCCATGATTGCAATGTTATTTTTCTTTTTTCTTTTTGGGTTTTTTTGAGTATCCAAAACTCATCTGGTGTTTTTAATAGGTATTTTGTGTTAAGCTGATTGCTGGTAGTGATAGGAGGGAAGCTACTTATATTATTCTCACTAGCTTTAAGGCTACTTAAGTTTGTTCTATGTTTAACCTTTTTCTACTTAATTAGGTATATTTAGTCGTTTAATGTACTGTTGTTTACTTAATGTTTCTTTTACCATGAGATTCTTGTAATTTTGTAGTCTATGAATTTTTTAGTAAGAAATTTTCATTTATTGCAGATTATTTAATATTTGATTTGAAATTCATTTGTTAGCTTGCTTATATGCAGTTTCAATGTATTGATGTATTTACCTTTTGGTTTGTAGTTTGCTCTCTTATTGTAATTATTGGTCCTACAGAAAAGAATGATTCATTTATAGTGGCTCATGTGCAATTTCTTACTATCAATGCAAAAAACAAAAAAAAAACCCCACTTAATAACTACCAGTGCAACATTCATTGAAGATAATGCATACATGGTGGTAAACAGACTGATTTTGTATTCTTTGGGGGTTTTTCCCCCTGATGAATAAGAGAAAATTTTCCCTTCCCTAGATTCTTAAATGTATATGCTGATAGGCTTTAGATTATCACTTAATTGTGTTCTTTTGTTTATTTGATAGATTATTTTCCTCAACAATTGAAGGTTACGAAACTAGAATAGAAACTCCCAGGGGTTGATACATGTACATTTGCTTGTGAAAGTTAAAAATAACATATTGAATAGTTGTGCCTTTTAATTTTCTTTGCCTTTCTACTCTTGAATAATGAGTTGGACTGGGGCAATTTCTTTTCTGGCATGTTCTTCTTTTTTTTCTTCCTGGCTCTCTTAGCTCGTCAAAGAGCCTATTACTTTGGTTATTATCATAACATGGTTAGGTTACACAATTTATTTCGCCAATTTAATGGGTAGATTTTACAAACTTACTTTTTTTTCTTTGCATTTTAATCTTGATAACATCTCATTAATGTTTCAAAAATTAGAAGATCAATTTTTTAGCAAATGCTTTTACATTTTGAGCATTATCATTTAATTACATGGCTTTGTTTTAGAAGTGTTTGTGAGCAAGTTGGGTAAAGCAGAGTTGACGATTGAACTATGTGGTTCATTGCCTACAATAGCAGTCTATTTTGCCCATAGTAATTGTAAGACAAAACAGCCAAGTTTGATCTAATAATTGTTTGTTTATACTTTTATGGGTTTTTTTTAGGATTAATACCACTTTGTCCCCCCAAACTTTGAACGATTATCCACTTCAGTCCCTAAACTTCAAAATGGGACACTTAAATCCCTAAACTTATAAATACCTCCCACTTAAGGAAAATTGTTAACAAATCCTGAATGTCGTTGGTGGTCGAAGTGTCCCATTTTATAAGGGTTTAGGGATTTAAGTGTCCCATTTTATAAGTTTAGGGACTTAAGTGGGAGGTAATTTATAAGTTTAGGGACTTAAGTATCCCATTTTGAAGTTTAAGGACTGAAGTGGGTAATCATCCAAAGTTTGGGGGGACAAAGTGGAATTAACCCTTTTTTTTAATATTATTGACAATATCTTACTTGAGATTTTACTTCGTATGTGAATTTGCGAAATGAGATTTTTAAAGCCCTTTTTTCTATGGTTAGTCATTATTGGTGAAGTCATTTTTTCAGTGTATGTAATATATGGTTCTTGGTATCTCAATGTTATAGTATTCAAATGTGAAAACAGTTTGAAAAAATGGAAGGAATATCCACTGAAAGGAGAAAAAAATTTTAACTTTTCAGGTTGTGGATTTTTTTTGATTTATTTCCCTGTCATTTTTCCAATTTTACACTAGATTGGACCTTCAAGTTTCTGCTTCCTTTTCATTTCTGAAGTTTTTAATTTCTTGCTTGCTTCTTTAGTTTTTCTGCTCCTCATAATCTTAGATTGCTGCCTATTTGATAGATTGAGGAACATCACAAGGAAATACTAATGGGAGGAGAAAAAGATTTAGCTTTTCAGGTTATCTTTTTTTTTTTTTTATTTTGTGGTCATCTTTCTAGATTACCTTAACTTTGAATTTCAAATTTCTGATTTTTGTGCTATGTAGTGGTTTTTCACGAAGTGTCTGGTGGGTGTTGAAATTGTTAATTTTATGAATTTTTTTTTTTTAGCTATTGCCTTCTCAACATGAATTGTTATGCATCTGAAGCATATATGAAGCTGGAAGGTTTAGTTTGAAGTACTCTTTTACACACTTTTGGCAAAAGAGTGTAAATCTGCCAAAATTAACTAATATGCCAAAAGAGTGGTCGTCTGTTAATCAAGTGCATCTGTTAAATCAGAAGTTAAATGATAAATAACATTAACTAATATGGAACAAAAGGTCGAGGTTAAGACTTTTCACTTTCACTTTTGCAGAGAAGTTTAAAGATTTTCCGAAGAAACCTCTAAGCTGGTTCAGGAATCATTTTTTGCTCAGTTAAAAGTTGAATCCTTTTGTTCTTTTCTTGTTTTGCACTGAATATGGGACCTGGTCTTCATGCAATTTCTGTCTCTGCATCTTTTAGGACAAGTCAATATTTCTAAAGTAGTATATGTTTGAGAGTAAGAGTAGGGAGATGATTGTCTACACAACCGAATGTACTTTGCCATTGCAATTTCTCAGGGATAAATTTTTCCCCTTCAGTTTTTATCTCTGACCTTTTCTTTCTTCTTTTTCTGGTATCCACTACAGGAAGAAGCAATCTTTATTTGTGGTCCAGGAATAAACAAATGGTGAAGATAGCCTTTAAGTAGGTGTTTGTTCACCTTTTATTGTTGTTTTTCCTTTTTTGGGTTTTAATGATGGTATAAGTTCTAATTAATCGAGTTTTTGTTTAATTGATAGGTGAGAATATCTTAAACTAGGTGACTTGGTTGAGCAGATATTGTGCACATCCATATTTGGAACTCCATAGCATGTTAGCTTCCTTATTTGGCTATCTAAATAGACTATTCTGTAGTGTGAAAATGTCATCTTCTTTTGATGGGCTTTTGAATAATGAATCATTAGTTTCTTTTCATTGATTAATTTTATAGATTGATTACACTTTTGTTGTTAGAGTAAGTTTTACTTGGTAATAAATTTGTATATTTCATCTTTAACCTTTTGGGTTCATTTCTTGAACTTCAATATTTATAGGTATAAACTTGTTGAAAAAAGGATGAGAGGCATTGGCAGTATTCAACATTTTGCTGACTTGCTAAATTTGTTAAGAGAATTTTCTTCACTTTCCTTGGAATATGCTTCTGCTGTTCTATCGTCTATGTGCAGGTTATTAGTCAAGATATCTGACACTTCTTTAGGCTTTGTTGTTCTAGGCCCAATCAGATATCTTTATACTTACTGTTATTTGATTGTGTGGCTTGAGTTCAAATTAAGTAAATTATTTGAGAGAATGCTTAATGATTTGTTTGGCTTGTTTTGCTTAGCAATGAGTCAAAGCCCGAAGAGTGGAAGAACTCTTACCGTTTCCCTTGCACTATCATGATTGAAGTGCCATGCATCCCTAGAATCAAGATTGGAATTATTTCTATGTCTGTCCTGCATGGATCTACAGTGATTATTTATTAGCCTCATTTTTGGATACATATTATTGTAGACATTATGTACCTTTTACATTTTAAATAAGAGGTTTCGTTTGTAAAGATAGTGACCAACTTTTGTTTCAATGCATCATATTGTGTATATTGGACCTATTATGTACTTCCTAATTTTGTCCAGTTACGGTGGGTTGTATTCTTAATGACACTGAATTGCAATTTTCACTTACCTCTTTAATTCAATAATTCTTTTTACTAATTATATGCCTCCTAATTGTATGGCCTCAAATAATTTGACATCTGTCATCACAACAATTTGCAAGTTAGATGGCCAGGATTGGGCAATTTGCATGCTTTCACCGTTTTCCAGCTACCTTTTTCTGCATAATCAGTAATTAATTTCATATAAATGGCCTGTTATGGCATGAAACTCAAGTGCGCCAAGAATTCCACCTTTCTATTTGTCAACTGGTTATTTCATTCTTCCAACAATAAACTTCGGTTAGGAAACGTTTCTATTGACTGTGAAGATAGATTGTTGCACGGAGGATTCTTTTTCAGAAATATGAACCCCCTTCATTCTCACTGTACACCTACTTCATACCATGTATCATACTTCCATTCTCTTCACCAGAGTTGTTGTGTTAGTTGTTCCAATTTTCATCTTACATGCAAAGAATTGGATAAACAATATAGAAACGATTGAACAACATCAAAATTAATGCTCGTTATAAATTTAAAAACACCACAAATAATCAATCTTTCACAGAATAATAGAAAAAATTAATAGTGTTTACTTATTGTTTAATATTTTTGAATCTCCCATTTACTTCTCCCAACACTACATCCCATCTCTACATGAAGCAAAATCATATTGATGAGCTTCAATTTTATTCGCCTCAATTATTTTCTTTTCGATCATTTTCTCGACACCATGTTAGAGGCAAACCTTTATTTACTCGCATTTTCTTACAACATTGCTTATTTAAAAGCTTAATCATTTTATAACCAGATAACTTAAATGCAATGCATATGATTTATGATATCTCCACTTGACAACTGAAGGAACTTGTTGAAGGCGTGATCAAAGATAAAAATGAGGGTGGTCCAAAGTCGAGTTTTACCTACTGCAAGCCTTACACCTAGTGCTGTAATCGAGCCGAGTCGAGCCGAGTATCTGAACGCCGAGCTCGACTCGTGACGAATTCGAGCCAAGCTCGAGCTCGCTCGTTAGCGCTAACGAGCCATAATATGCACTCGAACTCGACTCGAAAAAAGGAAATGTGACTCGAACTCGAGCTCGAGCTCGACTCGTTTATCACAAACGAGCCAGGCTCGGACGAGCTCGAGCTCGAGCTCGAAATATCTATCCGAGCTCGAGGCTCGATTTCGAGGCTCGAGGCTCGATTTTAGACTCGAGTTCGAAGCTCGAGACTCGATTTTGAGGCTCGATTTCAAAATTCAACAATCAGTTATTACGAAGTCCTGCTCCAGCATATCCAGATTTAGGCTATCCAAAATCAACAAAAAATATTAGGATTGGCAACCAATGCCATTCACATTCAACAATACACAAACTCTAACCACATTTCATCCAAGACAAATAAGACCATAACATCCATGATCCATACAACACAAACTCCAGGGACTGCAGTCAACAAATACACAAACTACAGTCTAATTCCATATGAGACAACATTCATAAGAGCCAATATACCATAACAGGTTTTGTCCAGCCAAATAAACGCACAAACTACAACTAAATAACCATGTAAAACACTGCTACATAGCTTAAAAATTGTCCAACTTCAAACACCTGACAAGAAAAAGTACAACCCCTTCAGAAATCACAAGAAAAAGCACAGCTTCACAAGTCCAGCTTTACAAATCACAAGAAACAGCATCACATATTCCAGAAAACAGCCTTCAAATGTCCGGAAGATCAATTTCTTCAATTGTAGATGATTCGGAAACATCGAGTGGTTCCTACAAAACGAAAACAAGAAAGTTACAACTCCTAGCAAGATAAAATGAGCTGCCAAAATAAATAACTAATAGAGTATATATTTTACTTACACGAGACTTGTTTTTTAACCCATGAAGATTGCGGATCCAATCATTCCCACAAAGTAGCATTTGAACCGTTTCAACGGACATAGAAGCACGCCTATCATCGATTATTCTACCACCAGCACTGAAAGTAGATTCGGACGCCACGGTTGTAACTGGAATAGCGAGTATATCACTTGCCAATCTTGACAATATAGGAAACCTCCACCTTTCCCCTTTCCACCAACGACATCAAGATTTGCATTTGCATCACAAACATATCTGCCCTCTTCCAAATAGACATCTAAATCTGATTTTTCAGGGGGAGCCTTGTCAATTTCACTAACAATCATCTGAAATTTTTCTTTCCCAGTTAGAACATTAACTCCAAGCTTTTTAGCAGCCCCTTGAGTAGATTTACTTGAAATTTCCGAATGTTTTCTTTTTCCAGCTTCCCTTGGTGGTTCCTCACTATGAGATGAGATGTAAGCATCCACATATTCATTATAAAGGTCATAAAGAATGCATCTCATCTCATCAATGTACCTAGGGGCTGCAACTTCTCCATAAATAACTGGGAAAGTATGATTAACAAGGACCATTTTGTACCTCGGATCAAGAATAGCACCCAAAGACATCAAAACATTGCTTTCACCCCAATACTTGTCAAATTTTAGTGCCATACTTTCAGCCATAAACCTAATATGATCAGAAAAATCGAGAGCTTTTTCATTTAATAGCTCTTTAATCCTATACAACTCTACAAGAAAAAGGTTAGCTGTTGGGTAATCGGATCCAGAAATAATATTGGTGATCTCATAAAAAATACCCAAAAATTTACATACTTCTTCAACTTTCATCCATTCAAACTCACTTGGGACATAGTGAAACCCAGGATCAATGTCCCCATACCTGGGAAATATATCCCTAAACTCTAGAGCTGAAGCCAACATCAAATAAGTGCTGTTCCACCTAGTTGGGCAGTCCAAAATGAGCTTTCTAGAAGGCAATTGAAGCTGTTTTTTTATTTTGGCAAATTCATTGAGGCGAGACTCTGAATTTTTCAAATATTTAATCCCCTCTCGAACAACATCAATCACATCAACAATTTGATTAAGCCCATCTTGAACAAGCAAATTAAGTATATGGGCACAACACCTAACATGAAAAATTTTTCCTCCAATGCTCAACCTTTTTCTTAGACAGAAATCCTCTTTAACTCTCCTAATGCATACATCATTATAAGAAGCATTGTCCACAGTGATAGTAGAAACCTTATTTTCAATCCCCCTCAAGAAAACACTTACTTAACGCATCAGCAATAATTACACCCGTGTGAGGAGGTGGGACATTACAAAAATTTAGAACCCGTTTTTGCAACACCCAATCACTATCAACAAAATGCCCAGTCACAACCATGTATTGAATTTTTTGACCAGATTTCCACAAATCTGTGGTTATACTAATCCTATTGGCACCTTTTAAGATATTTCTCAGCCTTCTCTTTTCAAGCATGAAAGCAGTCACACAATCTTCCTTTACTGTTTGCCGGTTAATCTTTTTATAAAATGGAGATACAGCTTTCATGAACTTGTTAAAAACAACATGATCCAACATAGAGAAGGGATACTCATGTACAAGAACCATATGAGCTGCTAACTCTCGTACTTTAGCATGATCATAAGAGAAATTAGTTATAGAAGTTATACCATCCGAGGGGCCTTCGGTAAAGGATAACACTTGCTGCCTCTTTTGATTTTCCTCTCCAACAGCCAGCCTCTTTTGTAGGCAATTTTTGAGATGACGCTTGTGTTGAGAAGTAGCTCCAGATGGATTTTTGACAAATAGTTCTTTGCAGTGATTACACTGCACTTTCAATGTTCCATCAGGCTGTTTTACTATAGTCATATCCTCCCATATTGTTGACTTCTTTTTCCGTTGTTTTTTTTCAAACGGATTTGCTCCTTCAACAGCACCTTTTTCCCCTGTTTCTGTTCCTTCATTCGGCTGATCTAAGTGATCTAAGTCCAGCTCTTCTTCGCTCATCTCATCAGCATTAGACTCCACCTCAAGTTCTTGTTCGACAGCTTCATTTTCAACCTCCATAATTGGACTTGTTGACGATCCTTGGTGACTGTACATACCTATTATTTAAAAGGAAAAATATACTTGAGTCAAGTCCATAAGGAACATATGCAGGAATATAGTGAAGAAACGCTATAGTGAAGAAATCAGTAAAATTAAAATACAGAGTCCTTAAAAGAGGGGAAAGGCAAAAAAAAAACAATAAAAGAGACAAAAAAAAAGTAAAAGGGAAAAGCGAAAGCAGAAGCACAAGAAAATGTCTCATAACATTAACAGCAAGGTGCTGGTTTAAGTAAGGCATCCAGGATAATCTTTTCCACACAAGAAAACACATTCACACTCCATGAGAAGTAGTAAAAGTTCATAAAAATAGGGGCCTGCAAACAAAATTTTTTTTTTGAGGAGTGCAAAATGGCCAGTTATATATCTTTCTTTCACAGGAACTAGTGTATCCCCTAATCATTCTTCTTACCAATCAACAAGCTTTTGCAATTACTGCAAGAACATTTCAAAGTGTACACTTGTTTTTATGAAAAAAAATGGCCTAAAGAGCTCCAAAAAGATTATATTCATGACCACATTAACCTGCTTTCCCTGCCTATCCAAACCTGCCCCCATTCCCACTCCAAAAGAAGAGCAATGATTACTTAAAACTTATCCAAGAGAAATCAAGTACAGTATTACAAATGAAAGTACTTCAAGACGTACACAAAAAGTTCAAGACATAACTCATATTATCCATAATTCGCATTCCCAAAAAAAAAAAAAAACAGCACAACATAGAATCAAGTTCCATATGTTGAGAATCAGACATAGCTTAGTGGTTAAGGATCTTTGTCCCTGCTTCGTTTTTCCAACCCCTCTCTTTTATAATTAACCTACGAAAAGAGACGAGACTTACCAGATTAACCTGCTTTCCCTGCCTATCCAAACCTGCCCCCATTCCCACTCCAAAAGAAGAGCAATGATTACTTAAAACTTATCCAAGAGAAATCAAGTACAGTATTACAAATGAAAGTACTTCAAGACGTACACAAAAAGTTCAAGACATAACTCATATTATCCATAATTCGCATTCCCAAAAAAAAAAAAAACAGCACAACATAGAATCAAGTTCCATATGTTGAGAATCAGACATAGCTTAGTGGTTAAGGATCTTTGTCCCTGCTTCGTTTTTCCAACCCTCTCTTTTATAATTAACCTACGAAAAGAGACGAGACTTACCAGAAATCACGAAGGATTAGAGAAACCAGTCAAATTGGACTGGTTTTTGGCCCTGGCCGTGGACGGGGTTGTTAATGGCAGAAAACAGAGGCTGTGGGCGGCAGTGGAGGCAGAGGTTGCTGTGGAGTGCGGCTTGCTGTGGAGTGCAGGGTTACGGTGTTGCGGGGTTGTGCGGGGCGGGCTGCGGGGGTTGCGGGGCTGCGAGGTTGCGGAGCTGCGGCGTTGCGGGGCTGTGGGTGCGGCTGTGGGTTACTGGTTGCCGGTTGCGGGTTGCTGGGTGCTGGGTGCTGGGTGTTGGGTGTTGCGGAGCTGTGGTGGGCGGGTTTTGCTGGGTGCTGGGTGCTGGGTGTTGGGTGTTGCGGAGCTGTGGGTTATTGGGTGCGGTGTTGCGGAGCTGCGGCGTTGCGGGGCTGTGGGTGCGGCTGTGGCCTGTGGGTTACTGGTTGCGGCCTTGCGGGGTGCGGCGGAGAGGGAGAGGCAGAAATGAAGAATGAGAGTATGAGACGATGCAATATCAACCCTAGTCCAAATTTCTACCTGTTGACTGCTAAAATGACACAAATACCCTTCTTTGTCGAGCTCAACCGAGCTACTCGAGGCGAGTTACTCGGCTCGATAACTAAACGAGTATTTGTCGAGCTCGAGCCTTATCGAGCCGAGCCTTAACGAGCTTTCGAGCTACTCGTTTACAGCTCTACTTACACCGCTAGAATCGACAAACTAGCAATGCCTGCTGGATATCAACCGCCTAAATTTCAACAAGATGGGAAAGGTAGTTCAAAGCAACATGTGGCCCATTTCATCGAAACCTGCAATAACGCTGGAACCTATGGTGACCTGCTAGTTCGTCCGATCCTTGAAGGGCAACGCGTTTGATTGGTACACTGATCTCACTCCAGGGTCCATCGATAGTTGGGAACAGCTAGAACAAGAGTTCTTGAATCGCTTCTAAAGCACTAGAAGAACCGTTAGTATGTTGGAGTTGACTAACACTCGTCAATGGAAGGACGAACCTGTGGTCAACTACATTGATAGGTGGAGAAGTCTGAGTCTCAATTGCAAGGATAGACTGTCTGAACCCTCTGCCATAGAAATGTGCATCCGAGGAATACATTGGAGCCTGAGCTATATTTACAGGGTATACGTCCAAATACGTTTGAAGAATTAGCTACTCGTGCTCATGATATGGAGTTAAGCATCACGGTCCAATGCAACTGATGGGCTTTCCATTCAAGCTCCATGAGTGCAGCCGCCTCGTCAAAGTAATGAAAGGCAAGAAAATAAAAAGGGGGGCAAACCTCCTTCAAAATTCAGTAGTAAGGAGTCATGGCAATAAATACAGCTCCCATGAAGATTGCTACAAAGTGAGTCGAAAAGTCACCGAAAGAGTATACTCTCTCAAAATAGGTCGGTAAGAAGACCTACTCTAAAAGAAATGCAAGAAAAGGAATACCCCTTCCTCGAATCCGATTTACAAGGAATGTTTGATGATCTTTTCAAGGAGAAACTCCTTGAACTTCCCGACATGAACGCCCAGAGGAAGCTGGTCAAGTCAATGATCCAAATTATTGCTGTTATCATCGCTTGATTGGCCACCCTCTCACTAAATGCTTTGTCTTTAAAGACAAAATTATGGAATTGGCCCGTCAAGGAAAATCCTTCTCGAGGAAGATAAAGTATCGGCAAATCAAACAACATAATGTTTGGGTCTGTGTGTTGTCCGATAGAAGTTTTATCCACAACAAGCGTGCTTCGTCCAAGAAGCTTGAAAATCCTCAATTGAAGATGTTATTGAAGATGACAACGAAGGATGGACTTTAGTCACTCGAAAGAGGACTTGCAAGCAAAAATAAAGAAGTACATCTTTTCAAAAGCATTCGTTCGACAAACTGAAGTGACAATGAAACGACGAAATGCAACAAAGAAACAAAAGGGAGTGGCCACAAAACCAATTCCTTCAGATTTTCAGCTCCTTCAAGAGGTTCGACAGCCCGTGACACTGAGAGAATTTATACCTAAGGGGTATTTAAGTGACGATACTGATAACTCCACCTCTTGTAATGTCGTCAAAGTTGAAAATTCTCAAGTCACACAAATTGGCACGGAATTTGAGAAAAAACTCAAAATCGATGATAAATCCCAGTAGATTGTGCAATGACTATCATTTTTGATGATGACGATTTACTGTTGAGTTCAAAACTCACAATCGACCTTTGTTTGTTAGTGCGTATGTCCGAGAGCAGAAGATGAATCGGATACTCATTGATGGGATCTGCTGTCAATATCATGTCCGTGCGTGCTATGAAAGAGTTAGGAATCTCAAGCGATGAACTTTCCCAGAGCCGCCTCATGATCCAAGGATTTAACCAAGGGGGCAAAGAGCAATTGGCCATAAGGCTTGAATTGCTCATTGGCGAGTTGTCTTCAAGCGCGTTATTTCATATATTGAAGCCAAAACTCTTATAATATGCTCTTGGGAAGACCCTGGATTCACGAGAATGAAATTATACCGTCTACTCTGCATCAATGTTTCAAATATTGTCGAGACGGTATAGTTAAGA